CAATATTTGGTCCTGAGGCCTGGGGCTGCTTTTCTCCCCCTTTTGTCAGCCACTGATGCCACATCTTAGCTGGAGATTATTTTCAAGCTCTATCAAAGCCCAGAATTCATAAGTGAAAAAGAACCATGAGCCGCCCCAGCTTTGATCCTGCCTCAGTGGATGTCAAGAGCCCTGCTGCAGTAGACAGCAACCAGGGTAGGGCCCAAAGCAAGGAACAGGGTCTCTGAACCCAGAAGCTACACCTTCCCTCAAAAAACCACAAGCCCCAACCTCAGAGATTTGTAACCTTTCTTTATAACATCCTGTTAGTTTACTTCATGCTCCTCAAACACTTTAAAACCTGCTTTTAACACAAAGATCGGTTAGGCTCAATTCTGAGTCACCAGCCCCACTTGCTCCTTACCAACTGACCCACTCTCCCCTCAGCTGCCCCGAGGGCAACGCCACCATCACCTCCTGCAGATGTGCTCATTCCTCAGAGACTGCCCTCAGCTCCTTCGGTCCTCACAGATTGCCTCTTCAAAGTTCTTCTATTCCCAACCACACAATTTAACCCCTAGACCAGCAAAGTACAATAGAACTTTCTACAAGGTCAAAAATGTTCTTCTCCACTGTTCAATTCAGTAGCCATTAGCCACATGTAGCTACTGAACACCTGACATGTGGCTAGCAACTGATTTTTAAATTTAGCTTAGCTTAATTTAATTAATCAATTTTAGCTAATTTTAAATAGCTATACATGGGCATTGGCTACCATACTGGACAGTACAGCCCTAGACTACATTTGTTAATTTCACCTTCTCCAAATAAGCTTCCTGACCTCCAAAATTTTAAGGCCACTTTCAATGTCTGTAGCCTCCATACAACAAAGCATATGGTAGGATGCTCAGAGAATTGTTAACTACTGTAACAACAGTGGAGATAAAAGAGATTGGTTGATTAATGAAACTTTCCTCACCTTGTGATTCCATCCAGCAAACTGCCCCTCACCCAGCCACAAACTCTCTTGCTCCCTGACTGGTACACAGCACGAGGCGTGCTGGAGAGGGTGCAGCCTGCACTGTGGGGATGTGGGAGCCCTGGCTCTCCCTCTCAACCATGAGAGGTTCTGATCAGCTCCCCTTCAGAACACCAAGGAAGCCACATGGCGGTGACACAAAGTCACCTGGAGAGGGAGGATTGCTGGAGAAAGGCAAGGAGAAGGAACAGAAATCCTCTAATCCACACAACGGAAAGACAAACAGAGATAAGTTATGACAACATTCTATATTTTGTAAAGCAACAATATGCTTCACCGAATCAGAGTCACACGGCAGAGAGGGACAACGGTGCTGGCCTTAATTAAATTTGTTCAGCTAATACCTAGGAGTCACCATGACACAATGAAGCAGTAAGCAACTGAGGAACCCCACAGGGAATAGGACCAATTACTGCACAAGTGAGCTGAGGCCAGGCATCCCTACCAAAGAAATAGTGAATAGAATTCTCATGTTCTTGCACAAAAAAATAATACTAGTAAATAAGGTTTCTAGCAAACACTTCCTAAAAAGGGGAGGGTGTGGTAAAAAAAAAAAAAATGTTTGTTACTGAAGATTCAAAACTCATGGAGCTGCTGAGTTGGTTTATAAGCTGCCTCTCCAACTCTGGCAACCTCTGCTGGGAAGCCGCTAAGTCCCTACCCAGCACCCCCTGGCCGACAGTCAAGGAGGGCCTGCGGTGACAGTAGCTCCTCGGGCTTGAGAGGCTCTGGAGCAGCAGCCCGTCCCAGGGCCAAGCATGCTGATGTCAGTGCAGTTCCCAAGTGGGAAGCGGTCAGGCATCCTGGGTGCTAATCCTGGTTCTGCCCAGTGCATGGCTGTATTACCTCAAGCAAGCCTTTGCTCTGGGCCTTGGTTTTCTCATCTGCAAAATGAGGGGGTTGGATGAGATGACCTCTAAAGTCCCTTCCGACTCTGAGAGAAGTGTAAGACTCAGATCTTCGCAAAAGCAGCCAGGAGAGATGGTGAGGCAAGGTCATAGCACCCACCAAAAAGCATGTAAATGTTACCTCTCTCAGGTGGAGGTAGAGAAATAGCAGGGCGGAACGGGACTATTTTTAAAGCACTGATTACATTTAATAGGACTAAGAGGTCACCAGACCACAGACAGGGAGCAGGGCATCAAGGCAGCCGCCACCTCTCACCAACTCTCAGGGCTGTGAGATAGCAGATATCAGAAGCCCCATGACAGGCCCTGCTGCTACTCTACAGCTCTTTGACCTAACTCCCCAGGAATGGCCTAACACCCCGGGTAGAGCAGAGGTCTCCTCCCTTTTTCTTCAGGCACCTTTCCGATGAGGCAATCCCTCCTGCCCCACCACATCTTCCTCCCTTGCTTAATAATCAAAACACTCCTGGTTTTGAAAATCATTTCAGTACTCAGCACCTACGGTTAAGTTAATCAAGATTCAAGATCTAGAAATCTCTTTGGTGTGTGTCTCTGGAACAGAATTCTTTGAACCAGATTCCCCCCACAGCTATAATTATGTCTCAGCCAGTATTTGGATATTGGAAGCGCTGTTGACACTGCTATCAGTCTCTGAATGCCTCATCCCTTCTGTCTTCCTCTATTATTAAGTTTTTACACAAAGATATGTGGGAAATCTACAGTTTAACAGTTGAGTCAACTTGTAAGATCTGGGAGCAGGCTGCCTGTCAAAACACACTCTGACTTCAATCTTCATCCACTTCTAACCTGAGAAGGACAAACTATGAGTGTTATTTAAAATACTCCTGGATCTTTAGCACAGGGAGATCAGCTCGGTGCTTTGTGACCACCTAGAGGGGTGGGATAGGGAGGGTGGGAGGGAGGGAGATGCAAGAGGGAGGAGATATGGGAACATATGTATATGTATAGCTGATTCACTTTGTTATAAAGCAGAAACTAACACACCATTGTAAAGCAATTATACTCCAATAAAGATGTTAAAAAAATAAAATAAAATAAAATAAAATAAAATACTGCTGGATCTTTCCTTTCAAAACCATTCAAAGGGAGAAAAAATCCAAATCTCTCTCCTATTAATTACAATAGAAATCTGAATTGCCACCCAAAAGCATTTTAGAGGGTGGTTTTCTGTGTCTATTAAATAGAATAAGGAGCAGAAGTTGAGAGCTTTTGTTCTGAAGTCTTTATACCATATTCCAGCTATCCAAGAAGATGAGCAGCCAGTGTCCCCAAACTGCTGATGGGTGAAGGCAGATGGCGTCTCAGAGGGGATAGAAAACTCTCCTGGAAAGAATGTCTGTCACTTCCTCAACAGTACAGGTTAACTGTGGTCAAACAGTATTCACTCAACTCCACTCCCCGAGGTCAGAGCCACGGGGTCAAACAACCACTCTCCTTCCCTGCCCCCAGTTATGAGTAGGCAAAGAACGGTCTAAGGCACAAGTATTAAAGGGTTCAGGATACTGATATATTCCTTCTCCAAAAGTCGACACCAAACAACCAAAAGCCCTCAGCAACAGCTTATAGTAAAAACCAAACAAATCTGACAGTGTTGAGGCTAGCTGAAGTTCTCCCCCAAAAGGGAGGATGAAAGCAGCAAGAAAATAATTTCAGAGGCCTTAAAATCTGTTAAGTTGAACATGCTTGTCTTCTACAACCCCCAAGTACCAGAGTCTTATTCTATCTAATTATATATTCCAACATTTCCACCCATAACACATATCTGAGTTTTGTATGAATAGGTGAAACACAGCTAGCCACAGGGATTGAGGGGGAAAAGAAAATATAACACAGGAAGTATTTTTCTCCTCCTCCAATCATTAAGACACCCCAGGGGAAAAAGGCGTTTTTGGTCACCTTTAGAGATGTGGTTTGATCTGAAACCCCTCTTTGGGGAAAACCTTTTTCATGACCCTGAACATTGGCTCACACTGCACTGGCGACTCATCAGACCTCCAAGTCCATTCTGTTTAACTTCCGAAGTAGATACTCTCACTGAAATCCACATTCTCCCCCCTACCAGATCCCCTTAAAAAAGAAAAGAAAAAGAAAGAAAGAAAGAGGTTGGTTTTCCCCAGCTCTAGGAAAACGCTCCCTCCTCTGTCCACCAATCGCCCTTGTCCAGGACTCAAGTGGCCATCTCCGATTTGCGGAATCAGCACTGGGCCAAGCCGTGGTTTACGGACCCGGTTTACAATGATCAATGGAGCTATGGAAACAGCAGACACCGCAAAGGAGCCTGCTGGCCTCCCATCTGGAGCCTCACAGACACTGAAGGTAGGAGGGGGCACGCTCTCGGATCAAAACAAACCCTCCCCCGCGCCCGGGGCGGTCGCGGCGGGGATGGGGGGGTGTCGGTGTCCCAGCGGAATCTCCAGCCTTGCACCTCCCCGGCCGGCGCGCCCCAAGGCAGCACAGCCGCACTCGCAAGGCCCAGGGAAGTGAAATCACACATTCCGGCTCCCAAATAAGGAGCGAGGCTAAATAAACCTCTGAGATGCGACTTCTCCAAACCAACCGACCAACCAGCTCAATGAGTAATGGGCCTTTTGTGCCCACAGAAAGAAAGAAGGGAGGAGAGGATAGGGAACCACAACCCTCGAAAATCACTTCCTTGAGACTAGGGGGAAAATTAGCAGAAGTGGTCCCGAAGCCAACCGTTGCGACTCGGCTGGATGCCGCTCAAACCCAAAATGGCAGGGTCCTCACGAGTCCTCTCGAGTCCCCGGCACTCACACCCGGAGGTGACCGGAAACTCGGTCTCGGCTGTGTGGTCCGCCGGGACCTGACCTTCCCGCTGCCCCCCGCCCCCTGCCGCGCACTTGGCACCCCCTCACGCGCGCGGGACGGGCAGCCCCGCCGCGGCCACTCCTCCGCGGCTCCGACGCCAGACCGAGGAAAGCGTCGGCGCGACCACGCTGAGCCACCGAGAGCTTAGGCCGCTGCGGAGTGCCAGGGGTGTCCCCGGGAGACCCCATTCGCCCGTCCTCCCCTCCCTCGGGCCCCAAACCTACTTTTAGGGCGAATTTCTCCTGGGTCCTCTTGTTGAAGATCTGCAAAACTTTCCCGTTGATGCCCAGTCCCAGGACCTGGGTGGTGACCTTGTAGTCGTCGATGATGGCGTTCTTCTTGATCTGCAGGCTCGACTTGACGTGGAACTGGGGGAACTGCTGCGGGGGCTGCGGCGGCGGCTGGGCCGGGGGGTGAGGTTGGGCCGGGGCGGGGGGCTGCGGCGGCGGCGGCGGGTTGGGGAACATCGCCGGCGTTGGACAGCATGGTGCGGTGGCGGCGGCGGCGGCGGGCTGGGGAACAGCACCGGAGTTGGACAGCATGGTGCCCGTAGGCGCGAGAACAGCGGCGGGAGGGCCCGCGGCGGGCCCCTCCTCCGGCTCCGGACGGGTTCCCCGCCACCCCGAGTCCGGCTGCGAAGTTTGGTCCGGGCTGGAGCCGGCTTCCCCGCCCCGGCCCGGCTCCAGGCTCGGCGGGTCGCGGGGCTCCGTGGGTCCCGCTGTGCGCCGCTGGCGCCCACCGGCCCTGCTCCCTCCCTCCCACCCTCCCCCCGGGGGCCAGGCGCTCGGTGGAACGCGGGACGGAGGGGCCCCGGCCGGGGGGGAAGCGGCCGCGCGACGAAGTACCCAGCCCGAGGGCCGGCGGCCGCGTCACAGCCTCGTCTGCGTCCGGGGCCGGTCCTTAAAGGGGAGGGTCGGAGGGGGCAGGGCTTGGGGAGGCGTGGGCGTGGGGGAGGGGCTGGCCTTAAAGGGGAGGACGCGAGGCTTCCGGAGCGTGAAGGGCCAAAGCTAGGGACTGGGGCTGGGGACAAGGAGCGGGGACCGAGAAATCTTAGTTCTTAAATAATCAGGGCCACGCAAAGGGAAAGGGGAGGCGTATGAAAGTAGCTGCATAATCAGATAGATAATCCACTTTTCTCCAATTGTCTGGCTCTTTTAGAGAGCAGCAGCTGAGGGTGTATTTCGAAGGCGGGGGATGACTAGCAAGTGTGCGCCAGATGAGACCTCCGGGGTGACCTGGAATTACAGAGGCCACTCATTCTCGGAATAGGGTGAGGCAAATATGGAATATTTTAACTTGAACACTTTCCTCTGAGTTTTGCATTTCTTTTCTCACAAATTCGGTGCACCTCTCCCAGTGGGAAGAATAGGGTGTGGAGAGAATTCCCTGAGACAATGTACCAAAAAGGGAAGGTCTGGGGAATAGGTCCTGATTTCCAATGTGGAAAAGTTAGGCCCTAAACCTACAGCCATAAGAAATGGGTATTTTTGAAGAAGCCAAGTTCTAGCCCAATTTAGCCCCCTGTCTCTGAGGAAGATACTAAGGATCTAGCTGGACCTAAGCATAGCCCAGATCAGGGGAGGAGATTGGGGAGGCCCTAAATTTAAGCTGCCAGAGGGTGTCGATACATATTCTGATGGGGTTTGGGGGATGATCATGAAATAAATTCCTGCTGATCTCCTCCCCACTCTGACTAGTAAAACAGCTCAGAAATAAGACAAGGAGCCTGAGGTGAAGAGAAAACCTCAGCTTAATTACTGATAAGGCCAAATTAGAGAATGTGACTCTACCTATGGCCACACGTGGCCCCTAACACGTTCCTCCAACACTCTAGAGCCCCCTTGTACAGGGAGACCTAGCTCAGGGAGAAGCAGAGGAGGGAACATCCTAAGAAGAGGTGCCCTGGGGACCAAGCCCAGGCAAGGATGGAGTGAAGGGTAGCCTGAAAGGTAGAAGTTACCCTCCCAGCAGAGTCCCTTCCCGGGACTCACTCCAGGGCCCACTCCATGGACCAAGGAGAAATATGATTCCCCTAACACAAATACTCGCTCTTTCTGAGCACAGTTAACTTAGTGTACACCTTGACTTTGTGCAAGGTGCCGTGCTCAGGCCTGCAGTGGTGGATGGTGTTGATCTGTGGGGGAGAAGAGAGGTACAAGCAGACAGCATCAAGAGAGTGGCACTGACACAAGTCTGGGAGGTGAGGGCAGAGGGATTCTCCTTTGCAATAGCAGGTGGTGGAAGCTCTCCTCTCATGCTAGAGGGTGGATAAGTTAGACAGTTCCCCATTCCTCTGACTCCTCAAAGATAAAAAGACAGCCTACGGCCACAGAGATTGGAAAACACCTCACCCGTTCTGCAGCACTACTATCACTTCCCTTAGGCGCACAAGGGAGAAGACCAAGGACTGAGAGAAGGACGCAGGGATGGGGAGGTGGAAGCACCTGCTCCTTGCTTCTCATCTCAGCTGGGCTGGGGCTGCGCAGGGCTGGGAGTTGGTCTTTTTTCCTCTGCAGAGGGTCACCGGTGGCTTCCTACTGCCTGGTACTGAGTTTTCACCTGCTTCCCTCCACAAGGCTAGAAAGAGGATAAGCTCTTTTTGCCCTTTCAGAGACAGAAGGCACAGTGGAAAGAGAACAGAATTTAGAGACAAATGACCTGAGTTCAAGTCTCTCCTCTTTGTATCTGAAACAAGGAGAAAAATAATAAAATTGAATATCGGGGCTGAGTGAGAATTAAATGAGGTAGTGTTCATGAGAACTACCCAAAAGCTAGAAATGATCATGAAATAGTAAATCTTATAATGACTGAGGCATTGCTGGCTTGCTTCTCTGCTCTGTGCCCACTGCATGGGGATCTGCGCCTGATATCAAAGCTGCCTTCCTATCTAGCTGGGACTCTGGGGAGATGCTGCAGCCCAGTGACCTAGGAATAACTAGACAACTGAAACCACAGCTGGGGCTTCCTTCTGGAATTACAAGGACCAGTTAGGCCCAGGGGGCACACAAGGACTCAGTACATAGAGATTACAGAAGCTGCACACACAGCACCCAGAAAACATATACATATATCAACACAAAGACATGAGTGCAATGTGCCTGGCATGTAACAGACATGAAATAAATGTCTAATGGATGGATAATAACTGGGGAGTGAGATGGGCTAAAGGAAGAACCTAAGACGGGCAAGAGATCCAGAGTCTTAAGTTCCATTCCAGTCCTAACTAACTATGTAACCTCATGCAAGTCCCGCGCCCTCTCAGTTCCCTCTTTCTCATCTGTCCAATAGTGATGTTAACATCTGTCCTGCCTCCCTTGTAGAGCTATTGTAAGAATAAAATAAAATATTTTTCCTTAGGACATGGAAGTCCAAAGTCCTATTTGTATAATACCAAGCTCTCAACCATCTGTAATGAACTACTTAAACAATTTTTATGGATATGTAGAAGCACTTCAAAAGTTAAAAGTCTATGCAAATAGAAAGTACTATTTTTGTCTACTATGGACATGCAAACACACATGCCATGAATACTGTACACACAAAGACAATTGAAAGACCTCAGGTACATAGAATTTGGTTAATTATAATCCTCCTCATCATTGAATCATTGGTCCATCTCTGCTTTTATTTAATTAGCTATTAGTTTGGTTGTTTTGTTTTCTTTTGTTTTGGGGCAGGTTTTTTGGCTGCGCCTTGCAGGGATGTTAGTTCCCTGACCAGGGATTGAACCCAGGCCATGGCAGTGAAAGAGCCAAGTCCTAACCACTGGACCACCAGGAAAGTCCTTAGTTATTTTTAATAATGCAGTAGGCACCTGTGAATCCACTACCCAAAATGAAAACTAGCACTTTGACAGTAGCATACATCTAACTAGGTGGTTCCTCCATTCATCCCCAACCCACCTCTGTTTTCTCTGGCCAAGATAACCATTATCTTGAATCCTAGGTTCATTATTCCTTTGCTTTCCTTTTATGTAGTTTTATTTCATAAGGACACATAAAGGTGTCTGACCTTCATAAAAGGTGAAGCTCATAGTGTCTTAAAAGGGAGGTGGATAGGGTTCCCTGGTGGCGCAGTGGTTGAGAGTCCGCCTGCCGATGCAGGGGACACGGGTTCGTGCCCTGGTCCGGGAAGATCCCACATGCCGCCGAGCGGCTGGGCCCGTGAGCCATGGCCGCTGAGCCTGCGCGTCCGAGCCTGTGCTCCGCAACGGGAGAGGCCACAACAGTGAGAGGCCCGCGTACCGCAAAAAAAAAAAAAAAAAAAAAAAAAAAGGGAGGTGGATATAGGTGACTTTGTCAGAAAGATGAGGTTAAAATAAGGAAATGTCGTGTCATAGTTTCAGAGTATTCCCCACCTCCTCATGATGATGGTGACGGTGATGATAATGATGGCGATTATTGAGTGCTTACTCTATACCCAACACTGTGCTCAGCCTCCCATTGCCTCATTTAAATCTCATGAGGGTCTGTGATAGAGATTGCTGGTTGTTTCCGCCAGTATCCATTTCCCCCTCTTTGATAGTAAATAATCTTCAGTATTTAGCTAAGCACATAACTGCCCGGAATAAAAACTACATTTCCCAGCCTCCATTACAGCTGTCTGTGTTCATGACTTGTAAATGGAAGCTGTTGAGAAAAAAGGTAAGTCCTCCTCCTTCTCGTCCTCTTTTCTCCTTCCTGGTGGCTGGAATAAAAATGTAATGGCTGGAGGAACTTCCCTGGTGGTCCAGTGGTTAAGAATCCATCTTGCGATGTAGGGGACGCCAGTTCAATCCCTGGCTGGGGAACTAAGATCCCACATGCCGCAGGGCATTACTAAGCCCACGCGCCACAACTACAGAGCCCGAGTTCTGGAGCCCTCGCGCACCACAACTAGAGAGAATCCCGAGCACTGCAGCGAAGGGCCCACGTGCAGCAACTAAGGCCCAATGCAGTCAATAAATAAATAAATATATATATATATATATATATTTTTATGTAATGGCTGGAGCTTGAGCAACCATCTTGAATCATGAATTTGGAGGCCACAGGTTGAGGATGACAGAGCAAAAGGATAGAAAGAGTCTATGTCCTTCTATCCGTGGAGTATGCATAGAAGATGGAGCCTGGATCCAACGTATCAGCCCTAAACAACTTACCCAGCCTTTATATGAAATAGAAATAAATGTCCTTCTTATTACAGCAACTGATGTTCTAAGTTTTCTATCACTCACATCCAAATCCCATTCTAACTATTATGCAACCCTATGAGATACGTACTGTTATCCTCATTTATCTATTTTAAAAATGAGGAAACTTAGTCCTAGAGAAATTGAATAACTTTCCTAGGGGTACATAGTTAGCAAAGCACAGAACCCAGGTCTTTCTGACCCAAAGTCCATTTTCATGGCCCCCACTCTAAATCCTAAGCAGACATACACCCACATATCCTTCTTGATGTCCGAAATATGGTATCTTGCCATTTCTGGGCAGGAATGACCTAAAGAGGTATGGCCTATACTTTCCATTTTAGATAAACTTTAAATCTCCCACACCTCAAT